ATTTTAAAGTAAATATGACTAGTTACTATTTATATTGACAAGGAAATGTAATGCAAAATTATGTTTGATAATTATAAATACCATTGTTTATTATAATGAAACATCTAGATCTCTTTGTACCTCCAATGTCATAATTTGCAAAGAAATTTTATTTCTGTTGAGAATAAAATTTTGGTTTTGATTGAAAATGTTTTATTTAAAAACTCAGTTCTGTCCTTTTGGAGGGGAAAGAAAAGAATTCCAATTGTTCTATAATCTCCTTCCAGAAGAAATTTTCTACCTCAAAAATCAAGGACCTTTCTGACAACTGCAGACAGCACACGGCACATTTCCTCAAGCTGGTGAATAGGTTGGATTTTCTCCCTAACTGTCCCTTCTGCTCCCTCGTTTGAATTATCAATAAAACAGCTTGGCTTATCTCTGAAAATAACCTTGTTGACAACACGAATATGGACTTAAACACGCTACCTCTACATTTAAGATTTAAGCAGACTCCAGTAAATGTCAGGGGGTGTCAATGTGTTTGCTGTGATACTTGGTTATTATTAGTGTTTAACTGCAATTCCCCACCAGCGCCATGCCGCCAGCACCACCATAAATTTTAATGTGATCATGTGCTCTTCGCTTTTCATATCCAGTGAATTCTGCAAGATCATAATATTCTATATGAACCCTTGCTGAACCTTAGTGTGATATGAAGGAAGAACAAGATTTTTAGCAGTGATAGTTGTTCATCATTTTATTGTTTTTGTTTTTTTTTAAATAACTGGACACAGAGCAACATGGTTCCTTGAATAATATTGCCCTAAACTAAATTCGCTCATTCACTTAATCTTTATTGAGCCCCTACAGGATGCAGGGCATGGCCCAAAGGGCTAATGAGTACATTTATGGGATAGTAAAGAACACTGACTCTTAAGGACCGCCCCCCCCACCCCCGCCACTGGAAAATGTGTCAGAGCTCATACATCATTTATAAAACTGAAAAATGTCTTTGCAGCCCTAGCACTATTACACACCTTTTATCTTACAGAATACAAACAAAAGCACAGCGCTTTTTTATATCTGTTCTACATCATGAATATAAGAAGTGTGTCTATCATCTTTCCTTATGGATGTGCTTGAGGGAATATTCATTCTACATTTGCCTAGAAATAGAGAGAATTTGTACAGCTCATTGATCAGGTTTTTATTCATTTTAATTACAAATAATAACTGGCACTATCTACTGTATTTATTGAAGGAATTCAAAGTTTGATAAGTTTTAACTATCTATTTAAAAGTAAAGGAAAACATTGAAGCTCTCATTATATAAATATGAAATTTCACTCCAGATACATGAAACAAATGAATAAGTCGCCAGTGTGATTCTCAGTGAACTAAATGTCCATCATTTTCTCCCAAATTGCCTGTCCTACAATTTTAATTTCTAAAGTGATAAAATTGCTTTGTTACTGAGATATGAGCCAGAATGCTTCTGCAAAATGCAATTCTGAGACAATAAATTTATTTTCCACGTGCAGCAAGATTTTAGAGTTGAAGGTTAGGAAGCTGGTGCATATATTTATAATTTTCTTGTCTTGTTCATGGTGCCAAAATTTTTGCTCAGCAGTGAGTGACACACAACTCTGCATCTTTCTCTTCCCAGAGACAATGGGCATGGGAAAATAGATAATCACATATTTAAGGTCACATGGAGAACGTTGTATAGGCAGCCATCATTAACTAGGCCCATCCTGATAGCCGAGTCTCTTTTCAGACAGACTGGCTTTGTTGGTCAGTTTTGTAAGAAAAATATTTATTTGGCGCTGGTATGTGTGCCTCGGTATCTCCTGTGCTAGGAGAAAAGCACTTTCAAGGAAGGTTGTTGATAAGGTTTTTTCCACCCTTTTCTGGCAACTGGCGGGGAAACTTTGCCTTGGAGCTCCATCTAGCGGAAAATTTAGCGCACATGCGCATGGCTGGCTGGTGTATAACGAATTCGTTTTCCAAATTAATATAAAATTTTGGTTCTAATTCATCACATGCAGATAGAATATGAAATTCCTTGCATAAGATTAAAGCAAAGAAAGACCCTGGTAGTCTTCGGTCTTCAGGGGTGTCTGAAACATTGATACCCATCCGTGGAAATAATTTGGGTATCATTTTGCCATAGACTGAATTCATATTTCAGAAATTAGAATTGATGAGTGAACTAAATTTATTTTTATCTACATAGATCCAGTAATCTTTTTCTCTTCATAATTATTTTCTTGGTTAAAAACTTCTGGTTAACCAGATTGTCCATTGTCAAGTTGAAAGATGTATGAGTTAGAGACAAACAAAATTTAACATTTTCAACCTATTGTAATCTTTAGTCAAGCTCTTAAAAATGTAATGAGCAGAAAATAACTTCCAGATGTGGCTACACAACTCAATGTGAGGATGAAAAAATAATATTTACTACTGCACTTTTTATTTTGCAGTCCTCCCCATCTCCCCTTAGAGAACATTAACGGCAAAGTCTTCTACTTTTGCAGTAGCATGAATACAAAAACAAAACCTAAATTTTTTTCTAACAATGACAGTCTTTAAATTCACTGAGTACATGTAAAAATAGCTTCACTCTTGAAATTTCTGACAGTAAGAGATGCCCATTGTGGTCACATAGTTTGATAATTTACTTTCTTCATTTTCTTGAAAAGTATCAAGGTAGTCCATAACATTAATGAATATTCACTGATAAAAATTTAGTATATGTTTCCTTCTATTCTAAGGGTTCACCCTGAATCTATTGCCCTTGCCAGATTTCCACATCTTGACTACTTTAATGCTTTTCAAAAACGTCTGTTTCCGAATTTAACATCACTAATTCACAATATTACAGACAATTCTATTTCCCTTGCTGAACAAGGTTTCTGCCTACTTATTTTAGCAATTCCATAAATCCACAGGTTCTCCAAACAGTCACTTAGTAAGTTAATGCCCTTTGTGAGCTAGACACATGAACTCTGCACACGAAGGTCATGCATCTTATCTACTGAAATCTGATAAGGAAGACCAAAATGAGGTGTTTGCTTTCAAGCAGTGTTGGCACTTTGCCTCAGGACTCAAGGCATCTTTGTTCCACCAAGGACCGACTGGCCGTTCTGATGGCGTGCACAAGGGATGGGACCACTCCAGGTTTCCAGATGAGGCTATCTGTTCCTTAAGCAGAGGAGGACCCACAGGACAAGTCTCCTGAGTAGAAGCTGAAGACATTTTGGTCTCTCCTCCCCTCCCCCTCCCCTCC